TCATATATGACTAATTAAAAAAACTGAAGTCTCCATTTTACCTTGATAATTTGGAATAGGGACTTTGAAAGGCTTTGACAAAATGCTTCGAATAAATGCTTCCTAAAAGAGAGGGGGGGTGGGGGGGGCGGAGAGGGAGGAAGAGAGAAAGAGAAAATCAGGGATTCAGGACTTATTAATGAGTTGTTATGGGACAATATTATTATGATATGCTCCACATTAGGTTTTGTACAACAGCTTCCTTCCATCTTTGAGATTTCATGTAAGGTTTTACAATACCTAGGAACAGCAGAAGTGCCATACTTCAATCAACCATTGAGGCTCAGAATTCACTTGTTCATGTAAGACCATGCCAATGAAGACACCTGGCTCTTCTTTAGGGTGCCACACCTTAAGAAGCAAGCATCCTACACTTACCTGTACAATACTAATAGACAATCCTAATATATGGATTTAACCTCTGTCCTATAGAGCTGTATCTTCCCAGAATACTTTTTTTTTTTTCCTTTTTAATGGGGGGATGGTGGTGCTAGGGATTTAATTTAGGTCATTGTACATATTAACTACATGTTCTACCACTTAATTACACCCCCAACCCACAAGTTTTTCTTTTTGTTTGTTTGTTTGGTACTGGAGATTGAACCCAGGGCTGCTTATTTTTTTATTTTTATTTTTTTATTTTGAGATAGGACCTCACTAAGTTGCTGAGGCTACCCTTAAACTTGTGATCCTCCTGCCTCAGCCTCCCAAGCCACTGGCATTATAAGCATGCACCATCACATCCAGCTCTACAAGTTTTTGTTGTTGTGTGTTGTTTTGTTGTTGTTTTTGCTACATCTTTTGCCTACTGCATCTAACTCTCACATTAATATCTACATCAGCCTCCTTAGGAACTAAATAGCCCAACAAAGAGTAGTAGTAGTCAGGCATGGTGGTATACACCTATAATCCCAACTACTTAAAGAGACTGAGGCAGGAGGATTATAAATTTGAGGCCATCCTGGGAAACTGAGCAAAACCCTTCCTCAAAATAAAATTAAAAAGAGCTAGGGATATAGTTCAGTTATACAGAACTTGCCTAACATGTACAAGGTCCTAGGTTCAATAGCCAGTACAGAAAAAAGAAAAAAAAAAAAAGAGTACTAGGAGTGATAAGAACAGAGATATTAGTAAAATAGTAGTAGCAACAACAATAACAACAAAAATGAACAATAATGATGGCTAACAATGTATGCTAGATGTGGAACTAAGCCTCTTACATTCATGTCAATATTTAATCCTAATAGTCCTATGAGATTACTGTATTACTGGTATTCCATTTAAAAATAAGCAAACTTGGGCTGGGGATGTGGCTCAGGCCGTAGCGCGCTCGCCTGGCATGCGTGTGACCTGGGTTCGATCCTCAGCACCACTTACCAACAAAGATGTTGTGTCCGCCGAGAACTAAAAAATAAATATTAAAAATTCTCTCTCTCTCCCTCTCTCTCTCCTCTCTCACTTTCTCTTTAAAAAAAATAAATAAATAAATAAGCAAACTGGGGCTGGGGATGTGGCTCAAGAGGTAGCGCATTCTCCTGGCATGCGTGCGGCCCGGGTTCGATCCTCAGCACCACATACAAACAAAGATGTTGTGCCCGCCGAAAACTAAAAAATAAATATTAAAAAATTCTCTCTCTCTCTCTAAAAAAAATAAATAAATGAATAATAAAAATAAGCAAACTGAGGCTCAGAGCAATTATATCACTTTTTCAAGACACACAGCCAAGATTGATCCAAGATTTTCCTAATTCTGGGCCCCTAATCAGTGGGCAGTATGGCCTCCTACCAACATATTACACATAGGCATACTGACAGCCAAGAGCCAACAGCTTCCTGCCATGGAAAACACAAGAGAAAGAACACATGAGAGGGAAGGCAAGCCCTTACCAAGAAAAAGCAAGTGGGACATGGGTGAGAGGAAACAGACACATGAAGATTCTAGAGACAAAACCTTAGTGCCTTCACCTAAAAGCCTGCAAGAAGCCTCTGCACCAGCACTTCAGCCTGGAATCAGCACTATACCACAGGCTATGGTGGCAAGGCAGGAGGGGAGTTAATATGGAGCTGACAACTAACTCCTAGGGAATTTTGGTCCATATGCACCTAAGTCCTTTGGGAAATTAAAATAATCTGTGAACCTAGACTCTAACAACAGAGATCCTAAAGGTAGCTAAAATGTGAATGTGTTGTAAGAAAAAGCAGTAATAGAAAAAAAAAAAAAAAAACTCCCTTTTAGCAAAAGTAACAATAGAGAGGACCTTCTCTTGCCCTGAAATTTTCCTTTTTATTGTTTTGGTACTAGAGATTGAACTTGGGTACCATACGCTGAGCTACATCCTCTGTACTTTTTATTGCAGGACCTCATTAAGTTGCTGAGGCTGGCCTTGAACTTGAGATACTCCTGCCTCAGCCTACTAAGCCTCTGGGACTACCAGTATACATCACCACAGCCAGCCCAGCTCAATGTCTTTGAAATGGGAAAAATGTGGGCTGGGATCATGTCTCAGAAGTAGAGGGCTTGCCTAGCATGTTCGAGGCCCCGGGTTCAATCTTCAGCACCACATAAAAAATAAACAAAATAATAAAGATATCATGTCCAACTACAACTAAAAAAAATAAATATTAAAAAAAAAGAAATGGGGAAAATGTAATAAATGTTACTTATGGTCAGTAAAGAAATATGGAGAATTGAAGGTAACTATCAACCAAATCTTTTTTTTTTTTTTTTCCTTTCACAAAATAATCAATACTTTGTGCCTGGGCTAGCTGCATCTATGACATTCCTATACATACATACACATATACATAATAATTTAAAATAAGTTACAAATGTTGAAAGCAAAGTAACAATTGCTTATACAAAGGTAAATAGGCACTATGTTTTCTTCTTGAATCATTTTTGCTACATAATTGCAATTACATATCAGTATGTTACTAATCTACAGAATACACTTTGAACTCTGAGGTATGACAACTCCCAGAGACAACATGTAAACCTGAATATTTTGGGTTTTTTTTTATTGTTATGAGACACATTTAATGTATATTACGAAACTATATTGAAACAAAACATACCAATAAATCATAATATGAATCAAATCTGAAAGCATATGTAGATCAATAGTATTGTTTTTTTGTTTGTTTGTTTGTTTTGTTTTTTTGCATTTCATTATTTATTTAGATGTTTAAGCTCTCGCACTAAGTTTTTACAAGCTGGTGAACACTGACAAATTATTTCTCCCACAGAACTATAACCACACATTCCCAGACAGTATAAATATATGGTTGAACTAACATTAATACACATCACCATTTTATCAATTACATA